ATATATTGAGCAACATGGGCCCCAATACTAGGAATAACGGTTTCAACATCGGGTCCACCGTCCATCGACCCCTGAACAAGCCAAGACGCTACAGATCGAGGTGGTCGTGAACTCGTAAATCTCCCATTAGGACCTCTCGTCACGATAGTCGGCTGCTCCTCAGTATCAACATCAGCATCAGCATCAACATCATCGTCAGGTCCATCATCATCGTATCTCGAACTCGAACTCGAAATCGAGCTAGTAGTCCTTAACAAAGGATTAGGACCGGCTCCCTCCTGCTCATCCAAATAAGTCCCAGAACTACCCACTTCTCTGTCGCGCTTTGGTAAAGAACTACCTTCCCGTATAGTAATCCTCGGCCCCTATCTCTCCTAATCGACGCATTAATGCCGCGTGATCTAGCATGTCGTGGACCAGAACCCTCGACTACATTCTAAATTAAGAATAAAATGGCATTAATACTTGTGCTTTTCTTATCAAATGAGTTTAAAATGACATTGATATAAAACAAACAAGCTCGACCAAACAAACATTTCATAAAATTCAAATCTAACAACACCAATTAATTATAACAAAATCAACCAAATAATATTTCTAATAAGTAACAACTAAATATATAGGGTTTTAGGGAAGAAGAACTTAGTTTTCTATGGTACATAATCAATAATGCTTACTACTACCTTTCATAATTCACATGATTAAGGACTTAGGCTAGATAAACTACTTCTAGGGTAAATAAGCATTCAACCAATGATAAGTTGATAGCTATTAAATTTTGCAAGCATACGATAAGGTTAGTCCTATAGATTGATTATAGCATAGTCAATTAGCAAGTCAATTAAAACCTGGCAGATTTGTTGCAATAATTCAACGAAAATTGAAAGGCAATCAATTAAAACAAGATGTTTGCAAGCAATTAAAGGCAATTAAAACAAAACATTTGTAAGCAATTAAAGGCAATACCGAAAAATTAAAAAAATAAAAATAAAAACCCAGGCAAGCGCCTGATTTTTCTGCACAACCATGGCTGAAACGCCTAGTTCGTGCGTACAACCGTGTGGTTGTACGAAAAAACTGGGCGTTTCACCTCAACCGCTCAGATTTTTTGTACAACCACACGGTTTTAAGCACGAACTAGGCATTCCAGCCGAGCTTGTGCAAAAAAATCAGACGTTTGCCGCGTTTTCAGAAAATTAAAAAAAAAAACCTCTTCTCCGCCGGCCATGACTGACTTCTCTTTGTCCTTCCGCGGCATTATCACTGTGTAGATCGGTGTTCCACTACTGCTCCACCGCTTTTATCTGTGGTGATGGTGGTGGTGGAGGTGGATGTTGTGGTGGTGGAGGTGGATGTGGTGGTGTTGGTTATTGTTTAGAGGGAGAATGAGAGTGAGTAAGGAATGAGGGTTTTGTTGGGGGAGGGGGGTAATTTTGTTTGAGGGGTATTTTTTTTTGATAAAAAAGGGTAAGTTTGTAATTTTAATTTATTTTGCGGGCATTATTTAGATATTCGAGGGCGACGTTTAGCTACCTTAGATAGAGAGGAATAAGTTCTGGACAGCTGCATTCAATCATTTTCAGCCATTCAATCTAACTACTTCCCCCAGTGGGGATAAGGAATTTCAGAATAGAAAACCCAAATGAAATGGGATTTTTCCTAAGGAAAATGAAGAGGGCGCTCTTTAGACGGGGCGGGTTTAGGGTAATGTTGGGAGTCGTAGCTTCTCTAGTGTTATAGCTTTCCGGCGGCTTATAAAGGACTCGCTTTCCAAGCGCTGGTCCAAAGCATGTCAAAGAAACCTCAGATCTATGACCTCCCAAAGGAGGGTCGATTAGTGAAAGCATCTCGTGAACAAACAAAAGGGCTTACCTCGAGTGGGAATGTGGAGATTTTCTTGTTTAGTTTTATAGGGGAAGCAAAAGATAATAAAAGCAATCCCGGACCTTTTCTCTATCCTATCATCTCATGCATTGCCCGGCAGACTTCTCACCAGTCTTAGAAAAATAGGCCTTCAAGCCAACTTAGGGAAGTGTATTGCTCAAAAACGATGTAACACCAGTTGTATTTGCCAGTAAGGCGCTTTCTATTGTCTTTTCATCTCCCCGGTCAATTGCATTGCCTTTAGTATGGATATGTAGGTGTAGACACCTAAAAATGTCTCCCCAAAACCAAACCCGATGATGAACAACCTTTCACCGTCACTATTGGTCGGGTTCAGTATTTAATCCTGAGAGTGCTTAAAAAATCGTATTTAATTAAATTTAATTTTTGAATAGTCCACGGACCAGTCTTGATGTTTAGTCAAAGCATAGTTTTTAATTTCAGCCCAAACCCTTTTTACTTTATTGTTTTATTATTTATTTTGGCTAAACCTTTTATTTATTTTATTTACTTATTTTCATATTTTAGCCCAAATAATAATAAATCAGAAATGGCCCGAAATTATCAATTTGCACTTAAAATGCTGAACGAAATTAGGGTTAAAAATGAATTTAGACGGAAAAATGGACTAAAAACTCCCACGTCACGGCAGTAGTCCACCGTGTCACGGGAAACAGTCCCGTCTGACGGTGGGATTCCCCGTGACACGGAACACCTGCTGTGACACGGGAGTTTCCATGTCCTTTTCGCGTAAACCCTTAACGCGTTTTCTCCCCCGTTTACTAAATATTTCCCGCGTCACACAGTTGTATATCGTGTCACGGGAATGTTCCCCGTCCGACGGTGGGGTTTCCCGTGTCACGGTACACTTTGCCGTGTTGCGGTATACGTTTTTAGGGTTTTTATCATTTAGGATTCTGTGTGTTCCCTCAGCACATTTTTTCTAAAAATACCCCCTCATTTCTGATGTACGGGGTATCAATTAATTCTCTATTTTCTCTCTTATGTGTTCTAGCCTAAACACTAGCCTACCCTTCAGTTTCTGTCTGGATCCGATTACCCGAGAGTCCAAACCCGAGATCCTGATACTCCTATCGGTAAGCTGAGAACCTACACAATGAGCAAAAGTTAGCTAACCCCAAGGTGATCCAGGGATAACCACTCCGATGATAAAGTTAGAATGTGTTTAAGAAAGATAAGTAAGAGAGAGAAAGTAGAGAGAGAGTAATAAATTCTTACCATTAATGAGGTTTAACCCACTATTTATAATAAATATTAGGATAGGTGGCTACAAAGCATACAATGCTTTTCTTGCCAAGTGTCAAGCTATTGTTGTCACGTGCCGAATAGCAATAAGCCGATATGTCCGCTTTGTAAAACATATCAGCCTATTTATCAGCTATACTGGGTTCATATCCATATTCATGAAAGATGTCAGCCCGTTTCACATATCCCCCCCATACAACTAGCCCCCCAAGTGAGGATGTGTGATCATAGGTCGACGTTCTCACATTAGGACATTGAACAAATTTTGGTTTCTATTTATATTATGATATGTTCAGGCTTTCTATTACTTGCACTATGTCGAGCATTTTGCCGAGATTATGCAATGCAATATTTAGGATGACTTCTTGGAATTTGCAACTGAATATTATACTGTAATTTCTTGGCATGTATACTGTTACCGTTGTAATTAATTTTTGCAGACAAGGTGCACTCGAAAAAAATTAGGAGCGGAAAAAACTCCGATTTCCCCCCCAAGTGACCTTGTTTGCCGATAGCAAACAAGGACTACTTGAAAATAATTGGGAGTGGAAAAAACTCTGTTTCCCCCCAAGTGACCTTTTTTGCCGATAGCAGACAAGGTCTACTTGAAAATAATTGGGAGCGGAAAAAACTTCGTTCCCCCCCCCCCCACAAGTGACCTTGTTTGCCGATAGCAGACAAGGTCTACTTGAAAATAATTGGGAGGGGAAAAAACACTGTTTTCCCCCCAAGTGACCTTGTTTGCCGATAGCAGACAACGTTTACATGAAAATAATTGGGAGTGGAAAAAACTCCGTTTCCCCCCCCCCCCCCCAAGTGACCTTGTTTGCCGCAAAGCTACAAAAAATGGAAGCGCTTTTTCAACAGACTTGCTGATGAACCGTGTTAATCCTGCCATCCTGCCAGTCAACCTTTGTATATCCCAATAGTTTGCGGTTGTTTCATCTCAAGCACCGCATTCACCTTGTCATGATTCGCGTCTATTCCTCGCTCATTAACCATAAAACCCAGAAACATCCCTGATCGAACCCCAAACACACACTTTTCTAGATTCAGCTTCATCTGATACTTCCGCAACGTTTCAAATGTTTCTTTCAAATCAGCTATGTGATCCTCCTTCTCCTTACTTTTAGCGATTGTATTATCTACATACACCTCCACATTTCGGCCCTTCTGCTTTTCAAAAATTTTATCAACTAGCTTCTGATAAGTTGCTCCGGCATTCTTCTACCCAAACGGCATTGCCTTATAGCAATATACTCCGGCATCTGTTATGAAGGCTGTTTTTGCCCTGTCAGCATTGTGAAACTGAGCATAGCATGGCCAGAAGTGGAGTCCACCAATCTATCTATTCGGGGTAGTGGATAACAATCCTTGGGACAAGCCCTGTTCAAGTCTGTAAAATCCACACACATACGCCACTTCCCCGTCGGCTTCCTCACCATCACAACATTTGCTAACCATTTTGTATAGGCACATGGTTCAATAAACCCTACTTCCAAGAGCTTATTAACTTCAGCCTGTATAGCTTCTATCTTCTCAGTTTAGAACTTGCGCTTCTTCTATCTTATCGGTCTGAACTTCCTATCTACATTCAATTTATGCTCCATCACTTCTAGATGTATTCCCGGCATCTCACTTGCCAAAAATGCAAAAACGTCTGCATTTTCACACAATAGACTTATCAAGTGACATCTCATATCAACATCCATATCTGCTGCAAATTTAACTGTCCGACTTGAGTTTCCCGGTTGCAACTCAATTTGCATTGTTTCTCCACCTGGTAACGGCCTCGGGATCTCTTCTGGCCTTGCATCAAAATTTTTCATAGCCAAATCCTGCACCGTTAGTTATTTTTCCTTCCTTGAATTATTCGGTATTGGACCGTTCGCAACTGGATTCTTCAAAGCCGTTACATAACAAGACTTTGCCATTATCTGGCCCCCATGTACCTTTTCAACAGCTCCCAAATTTGACACATAAGCTATCGTGAGATGATAAGTTGACACTACTGCCTGCACATCATGAATTATCGGTCTGCCGATAATTGCATTGTAAGTTGACGGCACATCAACTACCAGGAACTCTACCATCATATCTCTCGCTTTCAGCCCATCACCCAGTCTAACTAGTAGCACTATACTTCCTTCTAGCCTCACCGTTGACCCATTGAACCCAATAACCGGATAAGACACCGGTGTCAAATATTGCCTTCCTCTCTTCATTTCATTGAAAGCTTTCATAAACAGAACATTCGCTGAGCTGTCCCCATCAACCAGAACTCTCTTGATGTCGGCCCCATTTATCTTTGTTATTAGAACCAACGGGTCATCATGTGGGAAGACAATTTCCCTTGCATCCTCCTCTGTAAACACCACGTCAGGAATCGATGCTGGCCGAGGTCGGCTATCAACATCCAAGGCATACACTAAATGACGATGCTCAGATAAGTGCTTTTTAGCGCCACTGATCGTTCCCCTCTGCACTGGCCCTCCCGTTATCACATCTAATCTTCCTGTGGATAACGGTGGCATTCCTCCGTCCCCTTGCCGAATTATCCCACCTTGTGGTCTTTCTAGCCTTGCTTCTAATTGTTGCCTTTCAATCTGCCGAGTGAGCGGCTGACCTCCTCCTGTATTTTTCCGATATTGAGCTAAATGCCCCTTTCTTATCAACTCCTCAATATTATCTTTCAATTGTGTGCACTCCTCGGTATAATGACCCACGTCTCTATGAAACATGCAATACTTTTTGACATCCCTCGGCCTTGCCTTCATCAGAATTGGCCTTGTCCATCCTTCTATGTTCTGATTCACCGAATAAATTGCCGCTCTAGGCGTATTGAACGGTGTATATGAACTGTACCGCATCGGCGGTTTTGCAGCCCTAGCTTCCTACCAACTTCCCCCTCCTCTGCCTTGGGTCGAGGTTCTCGGCCTTCCACTTCTAGAGGTTGCACCCTCAAATTGATACTGACCCCTACCGGCGGTCACGCTCTTGTTACTTTTCTTCATCAGTTCCTCTCTCTTGATGTAATCATGAGCTTTGTTAAAAGCAGCTGCCAATATCAAGAAGTTCTTTCGTGTAAGATAACGCTTAAACTCCGAATCATTTAAGCCGTTCATCAGAGCCATAATAGCTATCTCTTGCTGCAACTTTGGAATTGTATTTGCCTCGTTGTTAAACCGTCTGATATAATCCCTCAAAGACTCATCCGTCCTTTGCTCTACTGCCATCAATTCCCCTGAAGTGTGCTAAATTTTCGAGTACCCTCCTTCTAGCGCCAAATTGTTTCTGTCTGGATCCGATTACCCGAGAGTCCGAACCCGAGATCCTGATACTCCTGTCGGCAAGCTGAGAACCTACACAATGAGCAGAAGTTAGCTAACCCTAGGGTGATCCGGGGATTACCACTCCGATGATAAAGTTAGAATGTGTTTAAGAAAGAGAAGATAAGTAAGAGAGAGAAAGTAGAGAGAGAGAGAGAGAGAGAGTAATAAATGCTTACCATTAATGAGGTTTATCCCACTATTTATAATATATATCAGGACAAGTGGCTACAAAGCATGCAAATCTTTTCTTGCCAAGTGTCAAGCTATTGTTGCCACGTGCCGAATAGCGACAAGCCAAAATGTCCGCTTTATAAAACATATCAGCCTATTTACCAGCTATACTGGGTTCATATCCATAGTCATGAAAGATGCCAGCCCGTTTCACATATCCCCCCATACACCTTCTTCTTTCATAATTCCTTCTTCAAACACTCCAAGGAGTCCATACTTTACTCGTGGTTATGTCCTTAAGTCAAGGCGTGAAAGGTAGAACTGTTTGAGGGTTTGGCCCCAAATCAATTCTATTTAATTTAATTATTTTTTTATTATTATTTCCTTGAAGTTACTAACTCGTTTATTATTTTGTAGTTGCAAGCAAACAAAATCAAAGTAGGAATTATGTTCCTTTTATTTCTATTATTTTTCTAACGATTTTATATTGTTGGAATCATTGTTAAATTGCATCCAATATTAATGTTTATTCTATTGTTATTATTGATCACCATATTGCATGTTTAAAGGGAATATGTAATTGAAAATCACGCCTAATAAGATAATTTGGACAACCGGTTTAGGTTCCCTTATAATCTTGTTGAGTGATCACAAATATTTTAGAATTTTATGTTGCATTAATATTAAACCAATTTAGCTTAATAATAGTTTGGAGCAAATTTAATATTTTGTTTGTATGTCTTTGAGATAGCGGGAATCACTTTTCACTATAAGAACCGAGTAGAGGCTAATACGGGCGAATGTGACTCCATGACTCACTTCGTACCATCATCCCCGATCCTCCTTTGGTGGTTCCGAACCATATGGAGTTAGTAATCTCATGGATTATGAATGGGGTGTAACCTTCACGGGTCAATCGTTGTTGCCTATCGTTGTCCCTTTATCGTGGTTGCCTTTAATTATCCGTGAACGGTTTACAAGTTCCTTAAAAACTTGTCGGCGGCTCCCTACTTTCCTTGTCCCTAATCGTAATGTCAATTCCCACTTCCTATGAGTTCCAAGCATATTCACCACATGCTTTAACGTAGGCGCACTTCAAACGACGCCTACAATTTGGCGACTCCATTGGGGAGGATTCTTGGTTATTTATCGATTTGAGTGATCGGTATTTAATTAAGATGAGTGGATGAGACTTGAAAGACTCTTGAATAATATTCCTGTGATTAATTTGGCATTGTTGCATAAGCATAGACGTTTTAAAGTCGCATTTAGGTCTTTCCCGTAAGAAAAATTGAATAACTTGATTGCGTACGAAGGAAAACAGGGCACCAGTCAGATTTTCTGACTGCCGTGCCACGGCAAAATCTGTCGTGTCACGGTGCTCTCTGCTGTGTACCGACTGTCCTAAAATCAGTCCGGTGGCTTGTTTTCTCTTCTCACATTCAACTTCCTTGTGTGTTCTACATGCGTCTTAGCCCCGGGGGATTTAAGCTCTATCAACCCAAAAACGCTCATGGCAATAAGGGTTCATCCAAGTTATTAAATCCACCCAAACCATGGAGTCGAGTTCAATTTCAGTACGAACTCGCGGAGTCACCCATTGGCATACACCCTCAAGGGAGGCTGCCTTACTAACGCGTCCAAACTCTTAACCATGGTACCCTATTGACACCAAATAAACCTGACCATAGTCGAACATATAACTTGACCTTAGGTTGCGAACTATTCTTTGCATCATTGTGCCTACGTGTTTTATGTTTGGTCGTTTTGATCCTAACTTTAACGATATTTATTTGTCTATGGTGGATTATTTTATGACTAACGATTGCCAATGGACCATACTCACTTCGTAATTAACGCAAAAAAAAAAATCCCGTGTCACGTCAGCATCCACCGTGTCACGGGAAAGTTCACCGTGTCACGGCAATTTCCACCGTGGCATGGTGGATTTCCAAAAAAAAAAATTAAAAAAAATATCAATTACCGAACTAAACACAAGGTACACCAATGACTTAAGGAACCTTTGCAACCCTGTCATTCCCTGTTAACCGTTCAATCACATTCCATTTCTTCATCAACCACTTTGAGCCTCGTCTAACGTTTGACCTTCATTTCTTCAACCAACATTCACTTAACCCTGGGATTGGAAGATGTGTAATTGTATAACATTCAAAAAGAAAGTAAAAAAAAAGTAGCAAAGCAACAATAAAACAATGTCTAAAGATAAGTGTTCCAATGTCTTTGATACGAACACGTCTCGAATTGAGTCTCTTATCGAGTGCTTGGTACTGTGCCTGAGAAACATGAATGCTAAGTGAGTGATGGACCGCATAATCTGAGATTGCCTACATTGATTCAAAAGAATGAAAAAAAAATCAAAGTAAAACAAAAAATGTTGAAAATAAACTTGCAAAATTCAAAATTTTCAAATTCACAATTACACATCTTGGGGGCTTCTCTCGGGTCTTGAGCCTTTTACCCCTTTCTTCCTTAAACCATCAACTTAACCACATTACAACCCTTGAAATACCTCTTTGAGGTGTACATACACCTGTGCAAAGTTCGGTTAGAGCTACGTTCGGCCTGATTCCTAACGGATACGTAGGCAACCTCACATTGAGGTGCGACCACATTCATATTCATATCTATGCATGATCGAGTCAAAGAATATCCAATGCTTATCTCTATATCCCTACCCATTTAGAGCTAGACTTGGGGGCTTGAACCCACATCACATTAGCTTAACCAGCCTAAAGAGTCATCATCTTTGACTCTTCACACATATATTTCCATCATCATAACCTTTGTAGCCTCACCCTAGTATCTCTTTCACACATACATATCCATATCATCTTTCCCTTAGTAACCCTCTATCATGAAATCTTGTTTCCCTACCGCGCATGCTTCATCATCTTTCAAGACAACATTCATCAGAAGAAATGTTGTATACTTGCTTAACTTCTTGACCTGAGCAATGTTCATTGTTTCATGCATCGCATAATGTGCTGAGTAACATTTATATATCAATGATTTTTAATAATACAAAGCATAGCGTTCTTAGCTCCTTGACCTAAGCAACGTTCATAATCACTTCATCTATATACGTGCTTTGCTTCCAGACCTAAGTGACGTTCAATATTGCTTCTTTACACCATAAATGATGCTTAGCTCCATGATCTAATTAAGTTCATTCACCTATCGTGTCACTTGACGTAATTTCCATTAGCCTCCCGGCCTAAGGTTATGCATCATGCATACATTACTTTTAAGAAAAGCAATTCAATCCATGCGATTCATTTTGTCTTGCTTAAGGAGGAAGTTTAAAACTTCTTCCCTTTTTCATTATTTTATTTTGGGGAAGTTCAAAAAACTTTTTCAAATTTTTTATCGAGGGAAGTTCAAAAATAAAATTTCATTTTTCACGTCTTTCTTTTTCGGGAGAAAGTCGGTACCCTTCACTCGTCTCATGATAAAAATGATGGAAAATTTTTACTTTTACATTTTCGGTGGCTTGTGTCTGCACACACACACTCAAACTATACACACACAATCACAAGTCATACTCATGTCATGTCATGTCATGTCAGTTGGTTAAGTCAATCATAGTCTATACGAGTCTCCTGTCAAATTTTATTTTGCAGGTCTCAATTACAGCCCACGTCCGGGGACAAGCGGACCATCTACAACCCACGTTCGGGGACAAGCGGACCATTTACAACCAGCCCACGTCCGGGGACAAGCGGACCATCTACAGCCCACGTCCGGGGACAAGCGGACCATTTACATCCCACGTCCGGGGACAAGTGGACCATCTACAGCCCACGTCTGGGGACAAGCAGACCATTTACAGCCCACGTCCGGGAACAAGCGGGCCATTTACAGCCCACGTCCGGGAACAAGCGGACCATTTACAGCCCACGTCCTGGGACAAGCGGACCATTTACAACCAGCCCACGTCCGGGGACAAGCGGACCATCTACAGTCCACGTCCGGGGATAAGCGGACCATTTACAGCCCACGTCCGGGGACAAGCGGACCATTTACAGCCCACGTCCGGGGACAAGAGGACCATCTATAGCCCACGTCTGCAGACAAGCGGACCATTTGCAGCCCACGTCCGAGAACAAGCGGACCATTTACAGCCCACGTCCGGGGACAAGCGGACCATTTACAACCCACGTACGGGGACAAGCGAACTAACTACAGCCCACGTTCGGGGACAATCGAACCACCATCATTTCACGGCGCAAGGTTCTCGATACACAGAGACTTGCAATCTCATCATATGTTGACTTTCCTCAAGCATGGAAAGTATTATCCTGTGGATTTCTTCAAGCATAGAAAACCGCCAAATTCATATGTCGGCT